GGGGGCAAGGGCGCGCTGGGGGAAAGCTCAGCCATCCTCCGTCCTCCCCATGTGGAGTGACCAGCGCCGAGGCCGCCCGTCCTGACCTGAGAGGGACACTCTGTGGTGAGCGAGTAAAACCACGCACAGCCCTCCAGCGCCTGCGGCCGGGAGCAGAAACGACTGGGGAGCCGTTTGAAAGCCAACAACGGCTGCCTTGTCCGCAGGTCGAGGGGAATGGCTGCACTTGGAGTCTCCTTGTTTAGTTAAGGAGTCTCGGCGGCATTAAGCGCTGAGCACGCACCTGGGGGAGGGTCAGCTGAAGGGGAGCAGCCTTCTGCCTGGAGCTGGGGCCAGCCCTCGCCCTCCCGCCACGCGCAGGCGCCCAGAGCGGCTGAGCGGGCCCTGCTGTGTCCTGAGGGCCCGGAAGGACAGGCCACAGGCGCAGAGACAGCCTCCCACACCACCAGGCTAGAGCCCTCATCGAGCCCTCACTGAGCACGAGGCATCCCAGGCCATAGCGGCTGGGAGGAGGGAGATGGGGAGGAGGGAGGCTGGGAGGAGGGAGATGGGGAAGAGGGCCACGGCAATCAACGCTCCCCGGCCCAGAGCCGCTCCTGTGGGGATCGCACTGCAGCTGTCTGTGGGGACAGCGCCACACGGGAGGGGGATGCAGGAGCACGGAGGCAGGGCTGGGGCAGGCCCACGGCCACAGTGCAGCAAAGCACACGCTCTGCGCGTTCAGGGAGCCCGTGGCCACGCTCACATGGGCTCTTTATGGGCGACCACCCCCTCCTCCGGACCTCGCTGGCCGGCTGCTGCCACAGGTCGCCGCCTGGTTCTGCATCGGGTCGCTCTGTCCACGCTCTGTGCACTAAGGCAACAAACTACCAGGAGCGCACGCTCGGTGAGCCAGCATCCTCTCCACGTCACGTCATTAAACTCCACTCCCGCACGACCGTCAGCACGAGACGGGGTTATTCTAAGGTGAAGGGGACAGCCTTGCGCAGCCCCCACTTAAACCGAAAGCACAACCTAAGACGGCCGAGCACACACTGTAATCTCCCCGTAACGTGGAAGATGTTATTTCCTGACCCGGCAATTAACTAGACCCCGTGGAGAAATCATGCCAGCATCCCTGACAGCAGTGAGCACACAGGCGGGAACGGAGGCCCAAGGGCACCGGGAGTGCGCACCTCGCCAGGCGGTGGCAGCCCTGGCTCCAGAGCGAGGGCTGCCCACTCAGCGCTCCCGACTCCCTCACAGGACTGCGTCCTGGTTCTGTCCCTCAGGAGGGGGCGCTGCTGCCCCAGGGGTGGCCTCGGGGGTGCACGCTGCTGCCTCAGGGGTGGCCTCGGGGGGTGCATGCTGCTGCCCCAGGGGGGGCCCAGGCTGGG